CCCCAAAACCCCAAAACCCCAAAACCCCCTGCATGCTAGAATCAGTACAAGAATTTAGATGTAATAAAAAGATAGATCAATCATAGTAATTTAACAATATACTTAAAATAAACCCAGAATAAATAAATGAACGACGATAATACTAGTACCAATAATGACATTCCAACAAAAAAAATGGATGTCTTACTTCAAAGTAAACTTGCAGAGTCTAAACTTATTATTAAACTTAATCGATAGGGAATTGGGACGACGACGAGGATGACGACTATGATGATAACGAACAGGAAATTGGAATTAAAAAAACTCACTCGAATAAAAATAAATCACTCACTTCTCAGGATATGCAAAGAAATGTTTCAGCTATTGTAGATGATGATAGTGAGTCGCAGATTGAATACGGTAATTCCTAAAAGATTCATAAAATGTAGTGACTCCATCGAACAACCAGTAAAATAGGTAGCAGTACCAGGATATTTACCATAACGCAAAGGGACTAGGATATAGACATGATGGCCATAAGAACAAAGACGATGATGAGTTTGGTGAATCTAATTTACCTCCTAGAGGTTATGGTGGCTAAAGACAGCAAAACCCAGATAGATACTAGAACAGACCTCCCTTCCAGCCTAGACCCAAGTTTGATGAGAGTAATATCGATATGGAAAGTAACTTCAGGAAATACTATATCAGAGACAGATCGTTTTACATGCATGTGATTAAAGAAGAGGAGCCTCCTGGTGATAAAGGTTACAGATTTAAGGTCCATATTTTCCAAAAATCAGATGACGAGCTGGAAGCTAAAGAGCAAGAGAAGAAAGTCTTCTTTACCTTGATGGATTTGGGAGCAGATGAGCCTAGAATGACAATGCTTTAAGACAAAATAAGAGTCTTTTGCAACGTTCTAGGAAAGGATAATGCCATTTATTTCTATCAAAATCTGGGAAGGTCCCTAGAAGAGCCCTTGAAATGCTCTATTTTCTTAGAATTCCCAGAGGAGATATTTGTTAAGCACGGTGATATAATGGCTTAGAAGTATGATGAATAGCAAGAGGCAGACAAAAAGAGAATTGAACAGCAAAAGCTAGAAAGGGAAAAAGAATACTAGTAATATTCAAACAAGAATAACTATGATAATCGCAACTAAGATAACCAGTAAGACTACCACCAAAATCAAAGAAACTATCATAAAGAATACAGAGGAGGATATAATGATTAGCATCATAGCAGAGGGGGAAATAATAACTCAAGTAATTATAAAGATAGACAGGTGACTAACTATCAAGCAGATAATCACAGAGGTGGAGGTCAATATAGCCGCCATGATAATGATCATTATCAAAACAGAGAATTTCATCAAAATAGAGATGAATATAGCAATAATCAAGGTTATTAAGGCAATAATAATCGTAAAGAATATAATAATAATTAGCAGCATTACAACAGATAGGATCATTAAGGAAGATAAGGAGACTATGGAAATAGACATACTGGAGGCAACTACAAGTAAGCAAATTATCATCAGGACAATCAAAGAAATGAAGATTTCAAAGATTCAGATTCTTATGGTATAGAATTCAAGGGTAAGCCTTAATTCTATAAGAGTGGAAATCCAAATGAGGAAGATCACAGAAAAGTTATTGACACATCAAAGTAATCAGATAGTTCATAATCAAAATAAACCTAAGGGGGTGGAGTGAGAACAGTTATTAACAATGATACCTAACAATAAAACACTCGATAAGTGTATCATGTTGATCGAGTTCATAAGCCTTATGATGATAATTAAAAATATGATAATGATAAACATTAAAATTACAACAATAACAGAGGGGGCAATGACAGAGATGAAAGAAACTCAAACAGAGGAGGATATAAAAATCAAAGAAATAATAACAACTATGATAGAGATGAATATTACAATTCTCAACAAGATTCAGGATATAAGCAAGGGAGAGGAGGCTATTAAGGAAATAGATACAGATAGGACTACCAAGATAAAAAAGATACTAGTTTCTAAGGTGGCCAGGGCTTTAATAATTATAGAGTAATTTAACATTCATGGTTAATGCTTTTAGGGACGTGGTGGCTAAGGAAGAGGTGGGTATGATGGACCCAGAAACGATCTATAACTGAAGAAAGCTGACAGTAGATCTAACTATGACTATGAGAATAGAAGTTAAAGTAAGTTTAGCTCTTAAAATATCATAATAGTATCTGACAACGTGAGTCATCACTCCTTTAAAACAGATAACCAGAACTACAAAAATGTGAAGCGAAGAAATGTTGAGCTCTATGATGAAGAGGGCTAACAATATTACACTGAGAAGAAGGGTAATTATAACTATAACCAACAAAATGACTCATAACGATATGGTGGTAATCAAAGAGGCTTTGATAAGAATTATCAAGGAGGCAACAGAAGAGGAGGCTATAACAATCAGAGGAGATGAATAAACTTCGAGAAATCAAAAGGGGTACCATGAGCTTTGATATCAAAGGTTACTACCTATACATTTTCTACTTTGGCTTAAATTTTCTAATTTCATTTTTTCTACCTATACAAGAAAATAAGACTAACGGGGTTTTGGGGTTTTGGGGTTTTGGGGTTTAGGTATG